TGGTCACTCGTGTGTACTTTTAGATCAGATCGACTGTAGGCAGGTCGGCTGTGAAATAGATGTTAGGTTGCGGCAACAGAATAATGTAAAGATATGAATTTGAGGACCGCATGGCAGTACAGTAGACACGATATAGAAATGAAAGAAAGCTATAGTGCCTAGAAGTGCCTTTGACTTGTATAGCTAGTATATATAGTTAATATACTCACCTTGTACGCTGATCTTGTAATACATGACATAATTCTCACCAGTAACAACATTCTCCACAATACATCTATATTCCTCTGTGACGTTACGCACACCAATGATGTTAAGACTGCCATCTGATGAGATATATGATTGCGAGTAGCCGTCTTTGATAATATTTCTGTTTTGGTCAAACCAAGTCACTCTTCGTGTAGGAAAAATACGTGCGGATGGCGGGTGTAAAGTTATTGACTGAAGTGATTTGATCAGAAAAAATGTAGATGAAGAATTTTCGAGAACATCAAAATCTAAAATCACAAGGTTTTTTTTAGTGCATTTAAAATTGTGAATTTTTCATTAATTTATATCATTAGACATTGACATTATTCTCACTTCCAGGGGTTACAARATCTCAGATCCTCCCTATTTGACTCACAATGAAGACTTAATTTACCAAATCAATAGCTATAGGGTCAGATAGTCCAACAGTTTGTTCGGTGTAAATCCTAATTTTGAAGTCACACGCCTTCTTCACTGTCTTGAGCCCACAACAACAACGACAAAAATCCGGATTCCGGATTCTATCAAMAATTTCGCAAGGATTCTGGATTTCACCATAGATATTTTAGGAAACATTTGAAGTAAATTGGTTCCGGATTCCTCTTGTTTATTGGATTCCGTTTCCATTGTCGCCGCTTCCAGAGTCAATTGGAATCCCTTTGCACGGCCCTGTTGTTATAGCGTCACCAATCGTCATTATATATTATATTTCAATTTGTCGACTCATCGTATTTTTTTGGCTTATGATACAATACTTCAGGCGCGTAGCGTGGACTYATTTGGCTAGTACGCACATGTCAGGGACCGCAACACATATTTTGGATCTGGGGGTCTAACGACCGTCAAAGGCGTGAGTATTAAGGGAGTCTGGACCTCCCCCCAGGAAATTTTGAAATAATAACTCTTAGAAATGCGATTTCTAGCGTTTTGAGAGACATCGAGGGCATATAAAAGGAATCAATTTTATGTGAATTTTTCAGTGATTTTTGTAAAAATTCCTTGCCACTAGTACGCACGTGCGTAAATGCGTAAAGGACGCTACGCGCATGTACTTACACGCTACTTGTAGCAAAGCTTGATTACTGATTGCTGAGCCGAGCCTGGTGATAGCAATGCAGCTGTAAAAACCTTCATCGATATGTCTTGATACGTTCACAACAATCAATGTACTATATCTAATRAGCTTCTTGTGTTTGTAGTAGTAGTTGATATGATATTTGTCTGTAGCTGATATGCGAGAACCATTCACCAACCAATTGTAGGCATTAACTCTACCGTCTGTCGAGTTGGCAACACAGCGAAACCTCACTTTACAACCCTCAGGAGCGATTCTGCCTCTACTAGAACTGATGATGACCTGCAACTTAGCAACAGCTGTAAAGAAAATATCACAAATTTAATGCATTTTTGATATGTTGCTCATATTCGATCACTAGTTGGTTGGTTTCGATAGTCAGTTGACGTTGTTTTGTTGGATCGATCGGTGGTTGGTCGGTTATAAAGGTGGTGGTAAGTTTCTTGTCTTTTCTCATTTGTCCTGTAGATTTATGTCGAAGGATAAATAATAGCCCGGGGGGGTAGGTACGTGCCGCCAGCGGTCKAAATCSCTKACCCTGYTTAAGACACTARAAAGTAAAAATCCATACCCTGTTCAAGACAAATCGGAAAAATAAGGAATAGCTATCTACGCCGCAACCATCAAAACTGCAATTATACTGACATCCATCAAAGACAATAAGAAGTTTTTGATAACATGTTACTACAGTGAAACGAAAATATTACCCAGTCGGTCTTTTATCTAAATTGTACAGCCTGTTTAAGACAATTTCGGGTGAAATGACCCTGGCCAGCGGCACGTCCCCGTATAGCAAATATATTGGAGTACCCCCTCGGGACTTAGTCCCGGGAGCACCCCCTGYCGGGACTAATAGTTTGTCTGGATCAATAGGATTATCATTGTTTATTGTCACAACATCTTTCAGCCCTGCAATGTCGACTTGTATTGTACACGTTAAGGCTCGTCATTACAAAGAGGACRACATATAAAAACTACAAGAATGGACTATAAAGTGATTTTTTTTAATAGAATTGCTTGACGCAAGATGATTTGAAGAGAAATGGTTGTTCAGCCATAACCTCGCAATCGTGTGAATTCATAAATAAATGTCATAATACGAAAGTACTACCATATGGCTCGCGCATAGTAGTGCAACAGGGGAGATAAAAACATAAATGTGGAACAATCCATCAGGCGTAGAAATATCCCGCGAATCGTGACAACTAGTGGGGCTCGTTTTAATTTTAACGAAAGTCAGTACTCGAAGAGGTCCCTGATTTCAGCTACTAGTAAATTGACACAGTGTAAACCTCACAAACCTGGAATAATTTTACGATGAATTAGCAATTTTAAATTACCATTAAAAACCGAAAAAWGATAAAAAATCGAAAAAACTTTTGGCTGGTCTTATTCTGTAACAGTGTCAGCATTCTTTAACAGGAAGSTATTGAGAGCCAGCTGGGGATGAGTCGCCACCTTGTCAGATGGAAACAATGGACAACAATGTAATTATAGATTAACAGCTCTAAGCTAAAATAAATTTTATGGATTGGCAAAATCAAACTTTGTTAATTTGCTMAAATAACAGTCGTCAATAACTTAACAAATCTTTTTATTGAAGTCTTAGGCTTGAGTACAATAACTTTAAAGCTTAATAATCGGCGATATGGTATTGTTCTGCATGGATTAGATGTACTTACGTGGACGTGAACTTCTCCCTGACTGACCACATATCACTAGGATCCATAGACAAATAAACCACATCCATGTATTCATCGTCTTAGGTTATCATTATGGTCAAATAAACCAAGTCTAACTAGTCGACAGATATTCCTTGTTGACAACTAACTCCCTACCACACCCCCCTAATTATTGCATGAYATTGTTGTTCTTGCTCATGACGTCACAGTACATAGAAGACACAGTCTTTTTCATCATTGTGCCTTGATTGGCTGTCTTGGGTGAAACTGTAGCAAAAACAAAAGTTTATCATAGTACTAGTTATGGGCTCCTGAGTATGTAAAGTATGCTGAAATATTACCGGACTTACCGAGTGAGCGGCCCWGGAACGGAAGTAAAATCGATTAGTGCCCAGTCTCCACTCTTCAGTGTAAATCCAAGATGTCCTCATGGTGTTCTATAGATGGGGCTCCTATAACATTTTCCGTTCGTTCTACATGATGACTTCTTCTATGGAATTACCATTTTACTCACGTCGTTCCCCGGTTCTCTCCATTAATGGTGCAGTTGCAACCAGCCAACCGCTGGCTTCTCAACTTGGACTTCAGATTCTCAAAGATGGCGGCAATGCTGCTGATGCTGCAGTAGCTATAGCAGCTGCACTCAACGTTACAGAACCTTGTAGTACTGGGATTGGTGGTGATGCCTTCTGCCTCTATTATGATGCAGGAAATAGAAGAGTTTTGGGTTTGAATGGAAGGTTTGTCGTTCAGTATTATGGCTTTTAGTGACATTGATTCGTTAATGAATATGTACCCGATATGTAGGAAATTCGGTGAACCAGGCCAGGTTGATCAGTTAGTTTCAGTTGTAAGGCAACTGTAAATATCGAATACCCCGCAAAAAAAAAACAAAAAAAACAACAAAAAAACGGGACGGGTCATAATAAAACTGGTTTTCCTGTGTGTTAGAACGTACTATAGACAGTGAACTGTAGCTACACAAGCTACAGGTCGAAATAAAGAATCGGTCTTCCTGTGTATCTGACCTGTAGCTGTTGTACCAAAAGTATTGTTTTACATTTTACCAGGAAGACTTAGAAATACAAAACTTGTTGATTCCTGGCCATGTCTCTGTCCATTCATTTAATAGCTCCATATGTGTGTCTCCATCATGTCTATTAAAACTACTGCATTGACATACCCTATCTATCTGTGCACAGTGGTCGAGCTCCAGCCAACCTTACATTAGATCATCTACGCAGTGAAGGAATTGCTTATCCAGCCAGCATCCCAAATTGCTCAGGGCATGCTGTTACTGTTCCTGGCGCCGCAGCATGCTGGGTCGATACTGTAGATATGTTTGGTAGCAAAAAGGTACATATTATAAATATTAGTTAACCTGGTGTAGTTAAAACTGTCATCAAATATTTCCAAGATTGTTGGTTTGCATTTATAATTTTTTCACTAGATTTTTCAAAATAGTTAAAAAATATACTTTACTTGTGGCAATAACTTTTCTCACCTTTGTGCTTATAGAGTAAAGCAATGTTTTTTATGATTTTCAAATGTTTTAACGTATTCTTTTAGCTATCCATGCAGCAAATCCTCCAGCCAGCCATTGAGCTGGCAGAAGTTGGTTTTCCTGTCCATGACATTGCAGCTCATTTGTGGAAGAAAGATTCTCTGTGTCTGCAAACCAAAGCCAACAAGTATGGTAGCGACATGTTGATTGATGGTCAACCACCACAAGAAGGAGATGTCATGATACTGCCTTATTTAGCCAACACATTCAAGGTACATTGCTGCAAAACAATCTGAAAACGTTTTTTCCTGCAAGTTGAAATGTTTTTTGCAATTAGACTCAGACTTCTTAATTGCTATAAGCTTGTTTTTCAACAAGTTGACATTTTAGTGTACACTTGCTCTTGTTATGTGATGTGAGGCGATGGAAGTAGCCAATCAGAAGTCTGCAGATTCACACTCAATTTCTCAATTTACTAGAAAACATTTTGTTGCAAATTTACAGCTACAATAGTTTGTAGTGGATCAGTTTTTTTTGTTGTCAGACAAATTTTTCTTTTATTACCATACCTTATGTTTCCAATATCCACAATAAGATATATGAATMGATTATTACTTTAATCCAAGTATGATTAAAGAGGCTGAAGATATTACGTTAACATCCAAGGAACTTGCCAGGCACGGGAAAGATGGTTTCTACARGGGTCGAATTGCAAGAGCAATAGTTGATGTTGTTAATGAGCATGGCGGTGTAATGACCTTGGGTGACCTTGAGGCACATCATTCAACACAAGAAATACCAATATCTACTAACTACAGGGGAATTGAGGTTTATGAAATACCACCAAATGGGCAAGGAATTACAGCGCTAATGGCACTTAACATTCTGGAGGGRTTTGATATTAAAAGTAAGTATAAAACTGTTTTTTAAGAGGAAAATGAGAAAAAAAGATATCAGAAAAGCATTCACAGAGCTCATGATTATCTTTTTCTATGTAGGTATGGGGCATAATTCAGTTGAATATCTTCATGCATTGACTGAGGCATTAAGCTTGAGTTTTGCCGATGCATTTTGGTACATAGCTGATCCCAGTAAAGCTCATGTCCCAATCAAAGAGATGATTAGCAAAGAATACGCCTCAAAAAGAACACAGCTTATTCAAAAGGACAGGTATAAACAATACAAACTATTTTCTCTTCATTTGTTTAATTAAATCGTGACTTAACAAAGTGTTTCACAGATATTATGARTGAAATGTTTTTAATTGTTATCTTAGTATCATTGATATGAATGTCAAATTATATCAAGCATACAACCAATCCATTTAAAGTCTTAGAAGATTTAGTTATGGACAACAAGAACTGAGAGATTTTCTAATTTGATGATCATTTGTGCAATGACTGCTATTTGATTTTTTAATAAACCTCTTTATATATGTATAATTCTGTCTTCTCAATAAAACCACCTCAGTTTYTAAACAGCCTTGTTTGTTGTGGGTAAACAGTCTTATCCAACTGTATATATGTAATATTTGTTCTATATCAGATGTCTTAAGAGTTACAATAGAGGTGAATTATTGTCCAAGTCTGACACTGTATACTTCACTGTGGTGGATGGCCAAGGAAATGCCTGCTCGTTTATTAATAGCAATTACCATAAGTTTGGTACTGGTCTTGTACCAGAAGGCTGTGGATTCACTTTGCAGGTATTCATCGTAACCTGAGTGACAGAGAAATAGTCTAGATATGATACAGGTGTTTTTTAGTCAGTTAAGACTTGTGTCATTGTTGTTAAAGAATGCAAAAAAAAGTCAGTTAAGACTTGTGTCATTGTTGTTAAAGAATGCAAAAAAAAGTCAGTTAAGACTTGTGTCATTGTTGTTAAAGAATGCAAAAAAAAGTCAGTTAAGACTTGTGTCATTGTTGTTAAAGAATGCAAAAAAAAGTCAGTTAAGACTTGTGTCATTGTTGTTAAAGAATGCAAAAAAAAGTCAGTTAAGACTTGTGTCATTGTTGTTAAAGAATGCAAAAAAAAGTCAGTTAAGACTTGTGTCATTGTTGTTAAAGAATGCAAAAAAAAGTCAGTTAAGACTTGTGTCATTGTTGTTAAAGAATGCAAAAAAAAGTCAGTTAAGACTTGTGTCATTGTTGTTAAAGAATGCAAAAAAAAGTCAGTTAAGACTTGTGTCATTGTTGTTAAAGAATGCAAAAAAAAGTCAGTTAAGACTTGTGTCATTGTTGTTAAAGAATGCAAAAAAAAGTCAGTTAAGACTTGTGTCATTGTTGTTAAAGAATGCANTCTTTCAGTTCTTTTCTGTCTTGTGATCAATCTCCTCTCATCTTCTGTTTGACATAGGCTAGTCATAYAATACTTTTATTTGTCAATCTTCTAGAATCGGGGGATTAGTTTTTCACTGGATCCAAACCATCCGAATGCTTTGAGTCCAGGTAAACGGCCATACCATACCATAATACCAAGTATGGCTACATATGGCGATACTGGTGAACTGTATGCTAGTTTTGGTGTAATGGGTGGATTCATGCAGCCTCAAGGACACGTCCAGGTAACGATTCATCGAGGACTTGTATGATTATATATAACAGCTAGTACTCTAATAATAAATCTATCTAGCTATTTCAAAAACTATTGAGCATTGTTTGCTGTGATAGTGAATTGTACATCCAAATGTTGCTGTTGGACTCCACGTAAGAGGCATCACAAAAATACAGTCCTTACAATCCTAAACTAAATATTGCTGTTCCACGAAGTGTTCACTGTACAAAGCTGTTGATGTTAATCACTCTCACAGCTTTATATATTGATGGAGGTCGGTTTCCATGTCCGCTGTATTCCCGGGAAGAAGGGGTTGGGCTCTCTTGAAAAATAGGCGAGTAGTGGTACTCGACGGACGGAAAAAGGTACGAATAATTCTGTGTTAGGGGCAATCCATTAGAATTGTGAAGGGGGGTTGGAAGACTTCAAAAAAAAAAATCCTACAAGGCAAAATTTTGATAAATCTGCAATAAAGCTTTTGTAAATTTACAAGCGCGCCTGAAATCTTAAAAAAATTATTGCGCGGACAAAATCTTCCCCTTAAAATTCTAATGTATCGCCCCTTCATGAGAGACCATTTATTTCCTAATATSGGGGTGTCCATAAAGCGGGAGTTGGCGTTATTTGTGAATGTATCTARTCCTTTAGTTTCGGGAGAAAGCAGGAAGCTCGAAGGTTCTTAGTTCCAGTCATTTTTTGTGTTTCAGGTGCTTGCCAACATGGTCGATTTTGGGATGAACCCACAACAAGCCTTAGACGCACCTCGACTTTGTATCACCCCTGGTGACCCAAACAAGGAAGTTTCCCTTGAAGACGGGATTCCTGATGCTACCATAAAAGGACTTAAGGACCTTGGACATAATGTCAAGGGGCCCATTTTAGGTTATTCAAGGTCTCTAGTATTCGGCAGGGGACAAATTATCGCAAGAAAAAAAGGACGTATGAAATGTGGAGGGGAAGCAGTAGTTTACTGGGCAGGATCCGATTCCCGTGCTGATGGAATGGCGATAGGATATTGATAGTTAAAATAACTTTCTATTTATATTTAAGAATAAAGGCCTTTTTTCTCTCTTTTCTACTATTTTCTCTTATATGTTGGGCCTTGACTGCACTACTCTAATGAGAATTATCGTGAATGTAATTCAGGCTAGTTTATCCTGTATTCATTGGACTGGAAGGACGTAACAAAGCAGCCAAACCACGTCATGATAAGACCAGCATCAGATGTAGACTCATTGTATCACGTGATCATTTGGTGAACTGAAACGACTGGCATGAGTAATAGAGCAAAATAAGCGCGAAACACAACCGCACATAATATTAAACGTGTAATTTAGCACAATATAAATAATTCTCTTATGCATGGTTCGCATGAGCAATGCCGAAGACAGCAAAAAAACGTCCATTCCTATTTCTTGCGTTAGTATTGTTTGCGTTGCTCGCGTGAACCAGATTTTATGGATACACTCTTCATTGACAATGCTTGAATGACTTGAAATCTGCACTAAAAAAAATAACTGTCCCCTTCCCGTGAATTTGGGATCTAAACATCAACCAACGGATTCCGGATTAACTGCCTGTTCATCATTATCGTCTGACAGTGGATCTTCCTTGTCAATAATTCTTTTTGATGTCGCAAGCTCGGTCGGACTGTGGTCTCCACCCTTTGAAGTATTGCCTGCGTTAATATTGTCTGTTAGGAAATCCGTTTCGCTAGCGCACACTACAGCCCAGTTGTCCGTCGAAGTTGTACTTTCTGTGTCGAAGTCGAACCGAGTGGGAGGCTGAGGTTTGAAATCGTTATACTGTATCACGTGATCACCAATGTGTTCACAATATTCATCACTTTTATCATATTCATCAATGCCATTTTCATCCACAATAGGCTTATTGCGCATGTGTTCTTCACAGTTATTTACGTCATTGTCCACGTGGTCTTTTACCAAACGAGATTCGTTGCTTTCGTCGTCGTCGTGATTACTCTCGTGGTTAATGCTTACGTCATCGTTGTCATGGTCACACGTTTCTGTCTGTCCCTCTGTATCTGAATTTAAGTCCTTGTTAGTGCTGTCATCGGGAGACACATCCAGGCAAAGATTTGTGTAGCCTCGAGGTTTGTTTGTCTCTGAGTCGGAATATTCAACATTGATATGCAAGGCGTCCATGCGTCTCATTCGTCGCGCTCTTCTCATGGTCAGCGTGACGCTTCTTTGTTTCTTCTGTGTCACGCAATATACTAGTACCAACATGGCAATGATAAACACAACTATGGGTAACGCAATGGCTAAAGGTATGATGTATTTAGACGAGTTCGTTTGATCGTCTTCAAATGTACCTAGCGATAACAAACACACGATATTATAAATACTATAAAAACGAGTCAAAACTAAAATAACTTAATATTGAACAAATAAAAGAACACTSGTAAATAGGATGGGATATATAGCAGGGAATGGAAAATGATAACAGAATTCGACTCCTAAATTGAATAGAAAATTAAAAACGCCAAATTACACCGGTCAATGACTTAACTAGAAATACAAAGCCCGAGGGGGTAGGGTTCAGGACATCGTGTCAAATAAGTACGTATTTCATTCAAACCGGTTTGGGATACACAGATAGACATCAGAAAATGCATTTCACTTTCTCATTTGATAKGTTTAACATTTATGCGAATTTCTTTACGAGGCTTCGGAAACATGATGTCAAACCACAGATAAATACTAAAAGTATCGTAAACATATAAACAAATAAAAATGTAAATTTGAAACCAACAAAATTTAACACTTGGATCATTATATAACTGACTAGTTCTTACCATTGGTGAAAGTGTTGTTCGTTACGAATTCTACCGACAAATTCATTGCAAGAATTCGACATGAAAACATTAAAGGTCTTGTCATGACAAGCAACACACCACGCCCCTTATCATCACTACGTCATCATCGCATTATGATGTCATCACACGTCATCACTACAGTAGGTAAGTCACGGGTGGTAAATACATCAACATAACCAAAGATTAATAAATGTTCTTTATTATAATGTACGTTGTGCGTAAGCACTTGTCGACTTGATCATAGACGATGCACGATGTCTTACGTATTTAAACATATCAGATTCTAATATATCTACTCGGTTTCTAAGTTTTATTTTGAATCCCACGACCTTTATCAAATAGAGGTAATTATAATTCAGATTTTACCATATACAGAAGGTATACCTATTTGAATAGCAAAATCTAAAGAAAGCTCATTTTTTCAATAATAAAAAATATACTCAAAAGTCTTCGGTTCTTCTCCTTCAAGTGTACCTCACCTCGTAATTTAGCTGTTTTTGTTTGTTTGTTTGTTTGTTTTTTTGAAAATATACCCACCACCCCCATTCTAGGATCACCCCTATGATTCCAACTCCTCCCTGTAATAAACGATTGGTCCCTTTTAACGATGATAATGAGTTAAGAAAGACATATTGTTGACAGTTCGTGTTATGACTTGAAACGTGGATAAAAATACTTTACAACTCACTGATGAGCCTTCACATCGACGGAAGATGTTTTGTTTTCAAAAACTATATACTCAGTACCTAAACTCATGACCTTTTCTATTATATTTTATCTTAGTAAACATTGGTGTGTTTTCTTTGAAATTTCAACTTTTCTGAGTCTAAAATTCCCAAGACATGTGATGTTGTATTGGTTTTTGGTGCAATAGTCTGCGGGGCATGCGTGGTGACWGTTTGCGTTGTCTTTGTATTATCTTCATTGCTGCTCACATTGGCTACTTGTTTGTTGAAAGGAGAAATRAGAAGCCTGAGTCTTGTCACTTCATCGTGAAGCTCCTTAAATGCCTGCAATTAAAAACCCGGTATTRGCCAATCACCTCTCTGTGTCGTATATCTATTTTTTCGCGCGGTCAATTAAAAACAGCCACTATAATTTTTAATGTTAAGATTTTCAATCAAAGTGAACAAAGTATCCGTGTCAATAATAATGTARCCAATGGTGACTAGGACAAGTAACATTTGTAAGCTTTTATCATTTGGAAGGGTSTGCAATATTAGTGGAAAGGTACTTAGTAGATTTTCTTACCTTTGAACACTGYTCTAATGTTTTGAAGTGTTTCGTCTCTGTTTTTCTACTTTTTTCTTTCTCATTTGACGACTGTTCGTGAGTTGGCTCTMTTTTCACTTTATTTTCAGGCGCAGCAACTAAACCTTCTGATATAAAAAGTTGTTTCCTTCGCTTACGGTAACCTTGTTTTGTGATCTCTTCTCTCCAAAGACTCTCTTCAATAGACTCCCACTTTGACTGACCAGCGGTACTCAGAACAGGGTAAACTGTGAGGAAAGACAACATGCAATGGTCTGATAAACTACAACGGTTTTCTATACTCCATCTCCTGGAAACGGGTTAACTCGGAAAACAATGCACATGTTCTTCATAGCTTAAAGTTCGATAATGATGAAAGTGACAAGAAGGTTCGTAATGGATGGTTTGTTGTATTTTAATTAATAAAGACCAATAAATATAAAACGGCGCGTGTGTCTGTCCTCTGATATAAACAAAGTGGGAGTTGAAAAACACAAGAGAAGTAAGCTTAGAAATACGAGCGTAGCGAGTGTTTTTCAACTCCCACCGTGTTTATATCAGAGGACAGAGACACAAGCGGCCGCTTTGTAGTTCTTTTATAATTTTTTTTTTTACGTTTTTAGAGCGAAAAACAAATTTTGCCGGTAAGCGGTTTCTATATCCTCAGCCAATCAGAGCGCGCGTCATATATCAAAAATTTTATAAATGGAAATATATTTTTTTAATAATTCAATTAAGGTGCTGCAAACTTGCAATTCCATAGCACAGTGTAACAACCAGCACAGTGTAACAGCTAGCACAGTGTAACAACTAGCACAGTGTAACAACCAGCACAGTGTAACAACTAGCACAGTGTAACAACTAGCACAGTGTAACAACTAGCACAGTGTAACAACTAGCACAGTGTAACAACTAGCACAGTGTAACAACTCTACAATAAYGTCCCGAGTAACAGTCCCTATAAGCAAACGCCGTTTCAAGACAGGTTGATGGAAACTTGACTGAGAATATTACATAATATAACAGCGGCTTTAGTTTCTACTGCCACTAAAGGAGTTTGCCATCATCTGTCTATACTCAAATACATGTCCCGAATTTGGACTTAAAATGTGTAACTATCACATATGATGTCATGTTATAAGCAAACAATACTGTAAGCACACAAGACATTAATGAAATGTTGTAC